CACGATTCTCCTTTTTTGGGACTGATAAACCCAATGTGTGGCGAAACTTTTCCTCAAAAAAGATCCCCAAGGTTGCACATGTGTCAAATTTATCAAAGTGCAAAAAAACGTAGTTTCATTGTGGGTCCCTTTAAAGGGTGAAATGATATTCGGAACAATGACTATGTGTTTCGGCAGGGGTTGTGTGTGATGTTTATGAAAAACGGGAGGGGCACCACGCCATCTAATAACCTCGTTCGTAAAAATTTTAGCTCCTCGTGCGTACGCTTATGTCACATTAGTGGCATTTTAACCCCCCCCCACACGCAGGGTTGCATTATTTTATTATTACTTTTTTATTATTTTTTATTTTTAATTTTCTGTATTTTATTATTATTGTATATATTTTTTTTTCAGTCGATAATGATTTTTTTTATTTTATTATTTTTTATAAAGGGAAATGCTAAGATTGTGTGAATTTCTGCGATGATGGGGAGAGAGAGAGAGAGGAGAGGGGAGAGGGGAGAGAAAGAGAGAGAGGAGAGAGAGAGAGAGAGAGAGAGGAGAGGAAGAGAGAGGAGAGAGGACGGGTGACGCGGTGTGCCAAGTTTTCCCCCGCTGCCCAAAATTTCGACATGTTTCGGCTTTTTGAAACCGGCGTCGGGTAGTGTGTGTGTGTGACCCCAAAAATGGGGCAGTGCAGAGCTTTCTCTTTTGCAACTGACAGGTCAACCTCAAGCTCATTTTTGCTCTCTCTCTTTTCTCCTCTTTTTTCTTAAAATTTTTTTCTAATTCGTTCAAGATTTCCCCTGATTTTTAGTTTTTTCGGAAAAATTTCTGGGGATATATTACTGGAATTAGTTGGCGCAAATTTTAAACTAGAACCATCACGCAACAGAAAGCGACAGAAGAAGCAGAGAGGAGCCCGGGGTGATGGTACGTGATGAGGTCATCTTGGGTCCGAGAGAGAGAGAGGAGGAGAGGAGGGAGAGGAGAGAGAAGAGAGAGAGAGAGAGAAAAAAAACTAAGTGTGAAGAAGCGCGGGTAATGTTTTATTTTTCTGGAGGGGGGTTGAGTAAGTAGGTGGGTAAAATAAAGGCTGGATGGTGCAGCTGGAAGGAGTGCAAATTAAATAAAAGTCAAAGTATTTTAGTAGCAAAAATTACAAAGCCGTAGCTGAAATTTCACGAAATTTTCCCCAAAAATTTTGAAATTCAAAACTTTTTAGGTCCTGAATGGGCTGAAACAGCCCTAGTTTCCTCTATTAATAAAGGGGAGACCCAACAATTTGTTTACACAAATCAATTTTACAGGCTATGAATATTGGGGTTCGGAAATTTTTGGGGGGCGTAGCGATTAATTGTGGAGGGGAAAAAAACCCAAAAGGGCCAAAAAAAAACACAAAAAAATTTGGGGCCGCACGGCTAGACCGTGGCATGCTGCTTGGGGCGCCAAGGTCAAAGGGGACCCCCCTTCGCGGATGTTGGAAACCCCTGTAGCATCACGTGATCTCGGGGGTCCTAGGAAATGAGATCAAGACCCGTTTCAGGTGACTTTTTTCTCGGCGGTATTTACGTAGCCATAATTAAACGGAACACGACATCTGGATTCTAAGTTTATTCAGCTTTGATCCACCGTAGTGGGGTGCTCTGTTTTTGTTGAGATATTCATCACCCATACTCATATCTCCTCTTTTTCATTTTAATTTATCCAGTTCAGTCACAGTCCCTCACTCCACGCTTCGCCAGACAGCAAGTTTAGTAATTTTAATTTCTATGTTCAAGACCCCTCAAAAAAAGGAAGCCTATAATCATCCTTCGTAGATACCAAAATAATGCCACACAATGCAAATGAGACACGAATTTTGGTGTAATTTTGTGGCGATTCACGAATCACCAAACGGAAACGATATATCGTAAAGATGATACAACTCTTCACTAAGAGACGCATGATGCCACGTGCTACGAATCAACCAGTTATTAGCTGCATACAATGTGACAACACGCGGCGACCAATTATCGTTTTCACAGCCACGAGGATATGGCTGCTCTATATGGTGGTGGGTATGGAGTGATGCACACTTCACGTTCATTATAACCAAGGTCGATGCAACAGAATGGCGTACAGTCACCATCACGTAGTCTCTTATGTATGGGTTATAGTGTAAGGCGCCGCTCTGCTGGTAAGGGTAGACAGCACTCTCCTTGCTCCTGACTTTTCACTCATCCAGATGGTAATTCCGTTGCATTTAGATTCTTTGAAGGGCGAGTGAGCGCCAAGCACTGAGTGTAAGAGCGAGCAATAAGTCAGTGTCGAATATTATGAGTGATGATACTTTAAAAGTGAGCCTAGTCGCTAATAAAATCGCATTTAAATTAAAAGAAAATAAATACTGTTGCAACAAAATCGATGCTGGTAACATAATCTTTAAATTTATTAGAAGCCCAAAATCCATATAGGTTATTCAACGCAAGAAATCTGCTAATCGTATAATAAACACACGCCTCTCTTGATTTTTTTTAATCACAGTAACACATATCATGAAGGCAGTGGAGAATCAGCCTCCTGAAGATGAGAGAGCTAGTCACAGAAAACAACAAAGACGTCTGAAAAGAGTTAATAAACAGAACATATCAGGTATTCACAAATGAACAATGACCAATTCCAGAAGTTTAGAGAATTAAATAAGAAATAAATAGAGCTGGAAAATATTGTAATAACACAGCAGGATGATGGAGACTTGGGCAACAAGCGGACAATGACGTACTATGCAGTGCAATATTTTAGACGACGTTTCGCGCAGGAGTAAGTTTTATTAAACATAATTCTGAGCGACGCGTAGTCTAAAAATAAAGGTTTGCTCTGCAGTAAGTGTCCATATCCACGGAAAGATGTCATGAAGAACCTCAGAGAGTGAGACACAGCTAAAACTATGAGGACACACGTTATCTCTTGTATCTTTGTGTAATAAGAGAAGAAACCGATGTCCTGTACAAAGCGCTGGTGAGGATATGCTATGAATTGGACTACTAGACTGCTAGAAGACCGAAAGGAGGCCCTAAACTGTTGAAATTCTACGACAGGATGACGGAAATTAGGAAGGTCAAACAGACATGGGTAGACTGTGTCTTTTTAAACTATCAGTAGGCAATCGACAACGTACGTCACTAGAGATACGTACAAACTAGCGATACAAGCCGGAGTAAAGGGACAAGATCTTAAATGGTTAAAGAGGTAACTACAAGAGAGAAAAGTTACGGTAAAAAGTGAAACATGTGACTGGGAAAAAGAAACAAGCGATGATTCCCCAAGGATCAGTCCTAGGACTTCCACCATATTTGATTAAGTGTCGCTATTTCCGGACGCTATGATGAAGCAGATAAGGAAACGATGGACTGACGGCAGAGTGTAGGAAAAGACTTTCAGACGGCAGGAATGGCCCAGCGAGATTTTTCTAGAGTTAAACGACAATAAGTTCAAAGCAATGAGAGGTGGAAGATTATTAGAGGTGACTGATGACGAAGTACCACCTGTGAGGGAAGCAACGGCAGACCCTGGATAAAAAATTGAACCTAAACGTAGATGTTAAACCTAACTTCTCTCACGGAGCACACACTCATAAGTTAATATTAATTAACGGCATAAGTTCGTCCGACAAATGTAAAACCTGCTATCAGTAATTAAAGCAGGTACTCAATCAAGACGCTGTACACTACTCGTCGGTTCAATCCTCGAGTACATGGCACCGGCTTTTAGCTTGCACCTACGCCAGCTGACGGCTTGAAAAAGTCCAGAAATTTATCGTCAGATAGGCACCAAAGCTAAGAAACGTGAACAACACGGATAGGCTTACAGGAACTGAACCTCAGATCGCTTTAAGAACGAAGTCAGAGGAAATATGATCACAACGTATAAAGTACTTTGGAATACTGACAAGGTTTTCAAGAACAACACTGTTTGACGTGAGAGGGACCAGAACAAGAGGACACACTGAATAATTAGATTATCAACAAAGACATTAGAATGTTCCTTTAGTATGACGTACTCAAGGAATCAAACTCAATACATAGATTCAAACGTAGATATCTACGTATGATGTAGCACAAAAGATACACTGTAAACTACGTTGCTTAAATGGCGCGTCTAGGAGCTGGAGCTCTAAAACTGGAAACACAGCTTATTAATGCACTCACGCACGAACACACGCACTATGACACACTTGCTCCCAGGCCCAAGTATTACTCATAACGGCACCCCTCGTGCGTCTGCCAAAGGTCCAACCCCCCCCCTCCCTCCCTTTATCTGTGTCGTATCATCCCCACAACACTGAGGACATGGTGTGACGGCCACACACACACACACACACACACACCACACACAAAACACCACACACACACACACACACACACACACACACACACGTTCCTACTGTCATGTTTTTTTTCAACTTCCTCTGTATAACCTGGTACAATTACTCACACGTAAGGCAACCTTGACTATAAGAGTGGAAACAGGATAAGAAGAACTTAAAAGTGAAGGTATAGCAATGGGCATCAGTACGAGACACGTGTAGTAATGCTAACCAAAACCCGGATAAGGTCAGGATTGAAATGCTGTGCAAAGTCTCTTATTGCTGAGACAGACTCAATTCACCTTCAGAGAAAAATCATGTCCTAACTTCAACTTTTAAGCTATGCTTTATGCTTACATTTTCAGTACATGTAACATCCTTGCTCTTAAACCCATACTGTAATAACGGCATTATAAATTCCCCTAGAATGTTGAAGACTTGTGCAGACGAATATATCGAGCTATGTCTGTCGACATATATTATTATTATTAAAGTAGTGTTAGCTGATAATTATAACGCAGCGTATACCATTACATTATACCTAGACCCTCTAAGATAGTTCTCCGCACTGACCTCCCTCCCACTTTTGCTCTCACGTGAACGTGCCTACCTCCTTTCCCACTCACGTACTGCATCCTCTATGCTGAACATGAAGCTGCCGGATACTCACCATGAGATCTTAGCTGCCTGGACGTTCTCTAGGGAGACAACGAGGACGGCCTCGCCTCCTGCCACTACCGTTACCGCCTCCATCCGTGGACAGACCGATGCTGCAAGGGAACAACACAAACACCAGTCAGCCACACTCATAACAACAACGTGATCATGGAACAAATAATAACAACGGTATCTAGTGTGGAGGGAACATACTAATCTTCTGTGTGAGACAACAACGTTAAGACTGTGAGACACAATGTTCTAAGTGAGGAGGGAACATAATGTTCTCAGTATGAAGGAACAAAACAACCTTCTCAGTGTAAGGGGAACATAACAATGCTCTCAGCATTTTAGGGTAATAAGGGAAGTAACTGAAAATCCCGTGGTGAATCCCGTAGACTCGTTTGTGCAGTCTTGCTGACTACAATATATATATATTAATATATATATATATATATTTTAAATATATATTTTATATATATATATATAAAATATTCTGACCCTTTTGGTTACTCAGAAACACCATCCACATTACAATCTGCCTGTTTACAAACCTTCTTGCCTTTCGTCGTGTAAATTAAGATCAATACAAGATATCCCTGTCTCTTACAGACAGAAAATTTAGAGGTAAGAGAGAAGATAAACGGAAATGAGTGAGATTAAAGTCCATCAGAAGGTAATAAAACAATTATCTGCTCGAGAGTAAAATTAAGTAAATAAGAGGAAATCAAAGAAGAGGTGTCAGACAAGTGAGACAGGTAAAAAAAAAAGGGCAGTGCCAAAAGGTTGAGACTAATGTTTCCTAAGTGGCCGGGGGTGATAGCCAAAAAAAATTACTTACAATAGTCTAGCACAAGCGCGTTCGGAAGAGAATGACGAGACCGACCATATGTCCATTCTCCATTGAGAATAGGAGATTGTAGATGAATGGTTCAGAGAACCGACACGTTGATAAATAGACACATGTGCAACTCTTGGGTATCTTTATTGAGGAAACGTTTCGCCACACAGTGGCTTCATCAGTCCATACAAAGGAGAATCTTGAAGAACAGGAGGAGAATGAGGTAATCAGTCCCTCAACCTTGAGTCGATGTGGTCAGTCCATCAATCTTGAATAGAATACGGCATATGCCTAACCCTTGGGCACGACCTACTTCCACATTGAACAAATGTGACACCATCTACAACTGCTGCACCTCTCCTGCCTACGGTTTATAAGCTCCTTCTCCGCTCATATGCCGTATTCTATTCAAGATTGATGGACTGACCACATCGACTCAAGGTTGAGGGACTGATTACCTCATTCTCCTCCTGTTCTTCAAGATTCTCCTTTGTATGGACTGATGAAGCCACTGTGTGGCGAAACGTTTCCTCACTAAAGATACCCAAGAGTTGCACATGTGAGAATAGGGGAATTGGAACCACTCACGCGGTGGAAGGTTAAGTCCATCAGAAGAGTGACGCAAATAACTGCTCAACAATAAAAATAGGTAAATAAACTGTATTATACAAGTCACTTGCTGCCATAACATTAGCCTTGAGTCATCCCTGCTGTAAGTCAAGGTGAGTCTGTATCTTAACTCCTCACAGTTCTTGTGAATCCTTGACAAGTTTGGCGCGCGCATCACTCGGCTCGCCATGTTTAACGGGCGCCAACCCAACAGACAACTCTTCAAGCTATCTCTATTTGTTCGCTAATTTCTGACCGATCTCAAGGCTTGGCATGCACCCATCAGGGTAGCTCGTGGAGGATCGATGTAGGGCTCGACGTAGCCAAAAATCCACTCCCAAGGTAAGGGGAATGAATACTTGAGATGTCTAGATGGTGTGTGTGTGTTGTGGCGGTGGGGTTTGGGGGGTGGGGTTAACAGCTGATGACTGCCGGGCGAGTGACAACTTGATTCCAGGACCCAGATACTTCAGGGATAACAGGTGTGTACTGGACGGCTGACTGGGAAACGACTCTTCTAGGGTAGTGTCGTGATGCTGGCGAAGAGTTCTTGACTAAAGAGGTATTAGGGTTAGCCTGCTATTCCTCGAATCAAACGTAATTAATTCCCAATCTCCAGGTATTGTATGACCTTAGGGATTTAGCACTTCCAGCAATAATAATAATTATAAATAATAAAAAAAAAGGACACAAGACAGTAAAGACTATCGGCTAGTTGTACTGACATCAGTAACGTCATTTCTCAACGAAAAAAGATTTGGCCAACATATTTCAGAGTCCATCCGCACTTTGAGCGACTTATCCTGTTAAGAAAAATGTGAACTTTTACGTGTTTGATGCGAGAAAAGTAACTTCAGCATTCTGCTATTATTCCAACTTTCGCTGTAACATGTGAATGCGTGTTGCGGTGTGGCATTCAAGCATCGTTGATGTTGTCCATACAAAGTTTCGCTCGTGGAGAGCGAAACGTTGCCACAATAAAAATGTCACATTAGTTGCACTTGTGTCCTTTTACTTTATATATTGTCGGTAATTCTACCAACATTACAGGAAGATTCCTAGTAGTTCTTCCAATGTAAAAGTGGTCACGTTCACCACAGGATATGTTGTAGACTGCTGCGTCCCTGGGTCCTGTGTTGGGTGTAGAGGCCCTCCTGAATGTCATGGATTTGTGTAGTATATGGGTCACTGTGTTGGTAAATTTAGCACTGATATTGTCGTGGTTAACACCAAAACCATCCGAGACATCATGAGAATCACAACACTCTACACGGGACCCAGGGATGCAGGAGTCTACATCATCCACTAGGGCAGTGTCCCCAGCTTGCGGACCACAAGCCGCATGTGGCCCTTCTAGGAAATGAATACGGCTCTCACATGAGACTATAAATTCACTCGTATGTAGGTTCCACACTGCACAGTGTCACAAAACCATGCGGCCCTCATCACACATTTGATCATCAAATGTGGCCCACTTGTGTAGGAAGGTTGAGGATCACTGCACTAGGGTGAACGTGACCAAGTTTACATTGGAAAAACCTCTTGGAATCTTTCCATCCTCTTAGAATTTACAAAAAAACAATGTGCACAATACCACAACACTCACTCCCACATCATGGTGTGGGACAGACCCGAGCTACTATTTCAAGAAAACGGCAAGATTTAAAAGTAGGTGTTCGGGGTTATCTACCATCAAACAAAACTGTGGTATGTTCATTTCCACTGTACACATCATGGTAGAATAAAACATGAGCCAGCAGGCCGCTTGCAGTTAACTATTTACACCTCACTACCTACCGGTACCAGATACATTACTCAAGCTGTAATTTCTCACTGTACTATGTACTTAATAAAGCCCACTGATGGGCGGAACATTGCATTAATAAAGACTTCACCGCATTAGTTGTCTTTTTACCACATGTCGGTGTTACTTTATGTTGCATCTCTATAATCCTTTATGAAACTGCAAAATGTGAATCTTGCACTGGTGAGACTGTCAAGAGCATATTTCAATTTTCCGTCCTTAAAAGCAGAAATTATTATGAGGTCAAACACTGAATGCATTACGTATTTTTAGCGAAAATAGTTTTGATAAAAGTTGTGATGGAGAGCAGTCAAGAACATGAGTGAAAGATTAATAAAGAAATTATGAGAACGTGTGTAATTAAACACACAGTACGATAAAGCTCTGGACGCCAAGAAGAGAGTGAACCCAGTAGTGGCCAGGCAGTCTCGGGATGGTTAAGAAGTGCAATGACTTGGATAAGGCAGTAGATTCAAACTCAATATACAGCTTCAAGACCCATGGTCAGAGATCAGTGGCGCCGATCGAAGTTGTCTAAAAAGCGTGGCCAGGAGCTGAGTCTCGATCCCCGCAAATGCAAATCGGTAAATACACACACACAAGGACAGGTGTCGGAAGGTGCCAAGTTTTGTTTATATCCCCAACACAAGATAAATTCTTTCTTTAAATATGACAGTAATAAATTTTCGTTTTTTTACACTCGTTCAAATTTGTTACTTGCCAGAATATTTGATCGCGAAGGTATGTTGGAAAACCATGTCTATTTGTATGTCCGTCCAACCAGTGCATGTCTATAGTAGTGGTAATGGTATACAATCCTGACACAATGATGAATAAGACATACATGCAACACCTGATATCTTATTACGAAGACGTGTCGTCATCTATCTGTCGTATTCATCTATCTGCTGTGTGTCCATCTATCCAGTGTGTCAAAGGTTTCGTGATAAAACTCTCCCAACATTAATATGTTAAAAACAAATGATAAACCCAAATATTAGTCATTCAGCTAACCTTCTATTCACTGTGAATTCATATATCCGCTGAATGGCCATCTATCCTGTCCCGTGATAAACTCGTATATTCCTCATATAATTACTCATGTTAATCAGTTAGAGAGAAACCAATAAAGAAGCCTTTAAATTTAGATCTTTTTAATCTCTCGGGTTAAAGGATAACAGTGGAAAACGAAAACAAAATGAAGTCAGCTCGCCACATAATTCGCCTTCGAGAAACCTTTGGAGACCCATTCAATAAACGTTCAACAATTATTATAATCATAACTAAGCGCTAAACCCTTAAGGGTCACACAGAGTTACGACACGCCAGCGCTTCCATATTTATAATAATAACTGATGTATCATTCGCTACAGCGTCTCTGGACGCAACTTCCACAGCAATACGAGCGAGTACGTGGAGTAATGTTGCACTCGTCACAGGACGTATCAATGACAGGTCCATAACGTAACGTGTGAGGTATAATAGCACACGTCACATCGTGTGTCGTCCAACTTGTCCGTAATGTAAGGTGTGAAAAACAATTGGGAAGTGGGATGGAGGTTACTGGTTGGGATCAGTCCTGGAATAACCGCTATATAATCAGTTTTGGCTCTCTGCCTGCTCCCACCACACCCCTTAACGCCCACCCACTCCACACATCTCTACCCACCACCCACCGTACCCTACATATGATCCTCTGAATGTGTGCAAGTCATATACATACTTTATAAATAATATACATATATATATATATATATATATATAAATATATATATATATATATTATATAAATATATATATATATAAATATATATATATATATATATATATATATTATATATATACAATAAAATCACAGT